TCTTTGTGTTGTCAGCATTCAACATTCTAGTTCAAACCAGACTGCTGCAAAACAGCACTTAACTTTAAAAAATTATTTCTTCCTTGAGAGAATTAACTTAGCAAGAAGCTGCACAGAGTTAACCCCGTTTAGTAACTACGCTTGCCGAACTGCCAAAAAGCCTTCACAGAAACAAAGACTGCACAATGTGGTTCTCATCTCCATTTTTGTATATGGCCTGAAACTTAAACAAATGGATGCTTTTTAAGTCCAGCACTTCAGTAACTGCACTTATGTTGATCCTCATGCCTTTGATAATATGATCAAAATGACCAGAAAGCATTGGCATAGAGCACAGCAGTTTTTCCAAAGCTAAATCTAACTGGTCACCAACAATAACAACAAATAGCCATGACAGACCAGTAAGCTACTGAAAATCTACATCTTCAAGGCTATTCTTCAGCAGCTGGCATTACCATGTCACATATAGTGATCAAGATCACATTCCGATACTGTCAGAGCCTGCAAGAAAAAAAGACCTGATTTTGACTTAAATAGAAGATGACAGAAGATAAAATGGACACAGGAGACTATCTGTAATATCTTTTGACTTCACCAGCATGCTGGAAAAAAAAAGAATTTACTTCTCTTTTGAGAAAGATAAACAAAAACATAATGTTCATTTGCCAAACTGATAAAGAGTTACTGCTTTTAACAGTATGACATGCTCCAAAAACGGGAAATGATCTTGACAAGGACTGGGCAGAGAAAACATAAACCAGATGTTTTCAAGTTCCATGTCTAACACACTGCACTTTAACTGAATAGCATGTATTTAAATGTTTGTGTAAATGGAGAAGAAAAACAAAGTTATCAGAAAAATGCAAACCAGACTACGACATTTTGGTATTTCTGCAGGAAGTCTGCCTTTCTGGGCTCACCACAAAAGAAACTCAAAACTCCTGGCTACTGTTGCATCTGCAGCTATGCCAAGTTCTAACACCAGAAAGAGCAGAGAAATGAAATGCTTAAATCAGAGATGCTGACAGAACTTCACCTGAGGTGCTTACGGTTTTGAAAAAGAAAGGGGCAAAGATGTCCAGCTTCCATCAGGTTCCAGTCTAAATATTTGAAAAATGCATTAAAAAAGCTGAACAAAGTTGCAATATTTTAACTGTATTTTTTTCTTGAACTGTACAATCTAAACCATATTCTTCTGTTCTGAAGACAGTCTCTAAGAGAAACTAAAACAGAAGCAAAAAAATTGTGCTTACATGTCATTAAGTGACCAACAGGCCTGTGTATAATTACCTAAGCAGCTTACCTCTAATTATGGGTGAGGTTACTTCAGACTTGCACAAAAGAGCCTGCACTGCAGATTTTCACTTAGCTGCCTGCACTACCACTGGCTTATTTGTATACAAAATGAATAATGCTAAGTACATGCAACTAACTAAAAGCTGAGCAACTGACGTACTCCTTTTAAATATATTTCATTTCTAATGCATAGTAAGGTAACCAACAAATTTTGTTTTGCAAAATGGGAGTGAAAAAGTTACCTACTTTCTCATTAAAAAGAAAAAGGAATAAATATGAAGAGTGACATAACTCATTACTAGCTGAGAATAGTAAAATTGCCGAGGCAAAAAAGCTGTCATACGTAATAAATACATAAGAAAAAAATTAAGATTACATGTCTCATGAATAAAATTAAGTACTTTCCAACACTTTAACAATGAGAAATTTTTAGAAATAAATACTTGTGATGGCAAGATCAGATCATTTGTCCCTCCTAATTCTAGAAAATCAGGGATTGAAGCCCCAAGCCTACACACTGACAAATTTATAACACTACTGTAGTCCCAGTAAATCTTAACTAGAAAATACCTAGAAGAAACAGTAAGTGCTGAAATTAATAAACATGAATTATTGTGATCCGTTTAATCCTATCAATGTAAGGTGATAACAGCTCACACACAGAAAGACCAAAATGTTGATTTTGCAATTTTAAGTAAAACTTACAAAAGTGAGCCAACATAACATTTATTTACATGGTGTGACCTACTAGCATGGTCGTTTCAGAAATTTATTACAAAACAGAACAAAGTGAATTAAAACTCAAGATACCACCAAATTTTATTTGTTTTAAAGAGAGAACCTGAATGGACTATTGCCAAATTTAAAAGCACTCAATATTTTCAGTGATTTGAAAGTGACTCAACACAATTCTTGATAGCATGCTGAGAATGAGATGGACATCAACTGAACAGAATAGTAATCAGAACAAGCCCAGAAAGACAGAATAAGACAGATTCACTCGAATAAAGTAGGTTGTATGAGAAAAATCAAAGGCAGGGTATATTGATAGGAAGGAGGGGGCCATACTTTAAACAGCAGATTAACCTAACCAGCACATACCTTTTGCACAGAAGAAGAAAATGATACAAAGGAAGACAAGCCTTGAGTAACTACTCAATAGCAGTGGCTACCCTGCATGAGTAATACCAGTTCCGATTATACAGATAATCCCCGAAACAGAAGAAACAGTGAGCTGAGTAGCAGTAACAAGACTGCACATGATTCTAGTTTTTTGTCAGTGAGAAAAAATGTTGACAATCACAGACATTAAAATACTGTTAATTGCATAATGAGAGTAAGAAACCCTTTTAGAAAGAAACTAAATTTTTATAGATGCTGTAAAGCTTTTAAGGCTTGAATCTTGCTCATCCTCCAGAAGGACTGGAACAAAAGGTATCACATTAGTAAAAGTAAGCTCTGTAGCAAGCAAACAGCCATTACTGCAAATGAAAGGTCTACAGAATTTGTGAGCCATAAATTCATTTTCTGTGACCCCATCACTTCCACCTTTGGCTGCCCGCAGAGAAGCTAAACAAATAAGGCTGACCTAAAATTTCTCCAATAGAGTCAACAAGAAGAAGCAACGTAAGAATCGGACATCCTGTGCTTTATTCAGTATTTAAGAGAAGCTGTTCACAAGACAAAATTATGAAGGCAAACAGATTTCACGACTCAAAATCATCTCAAACGCTGCACTCAGCAAGTTCTATCAATTCTCCTTGAAATCAGGGGCAAGACACAAGGTTTTGCTGCAACACTGGTTCTAGACTCACGAATACTTTATTATTTGTGACTGCCACCTCTGCTGCTGTAAAATATCCAGTAGGATTAGACTCTTCTTCCAGAAGAATACGACTGGGAGGAAGGGGAAAGCAGACATCTAAACAGATCCTGAAGTGACCTCTTGACACCAAAACGGTACACTGCCACCAATCAACCACCACACCAATTCAATCTTCCAGAAAATACAAACCTAGCAGAAGCAGTAATACTGTCCTTTACTCAGCAATACATAGTGCATTTCTAGCACCAAATAACACCTGAAGTGCTAGAATTGCAATTGCTACAGCTCCAGCAGTAACAGACTGACAGCATCTGAGCTGGCCAAGAGCCACATGAATGAACTGGGAGAGTCTGGAGAACTACCACTAGAAGTAAGCATCTGGAAGTGGTCAGAAGTAAATAAGTTTTGGCTATGTTTGGCTATGGTATTTTAACTGGTTTACAGTAATCTACAATATCCATTCTGTTTCATTCTATCTTCTACATGTTAACTTCTGAACTTTGATACACATTTATTTTCCTTTCATATCAACACAGCATCTACAGCCCTTCTTCATCTCAAAGCAAGCCATATTTGCTACCCCCCCCCCCCCATCCTAACAGTCCTCCCTTTAGACCTGCATCCCATTTCTGCATTTCTGTTACCCCAAATGCCTGATTCTTCAGAGGTAGGAGGGAGAAATAAACAGATGAAGAAAATCATGTCTCTTCTCCTGTGCACACATAGGAGGGAAGGCTTTCAAGATGCTGTTGTAAACTTCTGTGGGCTTTCAAAATGTCTCTTTATACCACATAATCCCTGCCATCTGACTGGATTACAGTTCAGAATGAAGGTTTGAGAACCCAAAGTTTAAGGACAACACTATTATGTAGTGCCAGCTGACTGTCTAAAATTAACTAAAAATCTTCGAGGCCATTGCAACCCTAAGACAGGTTGATTTACAGAAATGCTTTTTTTCTTTTATGAGAAATGTCCTTTCGTACAATGGATTGAGTATTGATTTATTGTTATATTATAGGCTCAACATCCTCAAGGAAACTCACAGAGCTGAGTTGTGCTTATAAACTGGAAAAGTATTACCAGTTCCTATCTACAAACTGGCCTTTGGTTGAAACTGGTAACTCAGAAATGGAAGAGTAGTTACACAGAGGAAATCAAGATTTCACAAACTGTTTCAAAATTAGGATTAGAAATATTCCTAAATCCTTCAAGAGTTATTAATGATCACAGACCTGAGGGTTTCTCTGTAAATACTGAAAAGAACATCTACAGACTAATGGAAGATATACTAAAAGGACAAAATGAATGAATAAGAAAGGTTCATAAAAAATACAACATGAGAACATTATAGACAAGTGCTGTAGGTGCTGTCATGTTAACATTCAGTTTAATTAGTTTGCATCATATCAATAGTCTATTTCCAATAGAAGCAGCTTTCCTGTGCTTTACTATTTGAAATAACCACAGGATAACAATGAATACACAAAACTATTCTTAACCTCATGGAAAATAAAAAAAGCATAGCTTCAAAAGCAACCTCAATACCACGAAATTCAATTATGTTAACTTTCATAAAATTCAACTAGAGCTTTCTCCCTAGACCCACAGCAACAAGTAGAACTGGCTTGTTATATATGAAGACATGTTAAAAAAACAAATAAATAAAAGCCCAATACAAGCTCCTATAATTCCTGCTGTATTTGTGGCTCCCTGGCCTCCTCAGAGAGGAAAGCAACTGCTAGATAAAAAGTTTTGTACACACTACTGCAGACTATAGATTCTTTGCAAGCAGGCAACTACACTGACTGGATTTCACATTTTCTTGATCCTAAAATTAAAATCACACATCTATTTTTATTCCATATTACAACATACTTACTCTGCCATTACACGTCTGACGTTATTGGCATACAACACTGGATTTTTTCTTTCTTCTTCTGAAGGAATATACACAGGCAGAAACTGCATACAGAGAACTGAATTATACCAAGATCATTTAACAAGTTAAACAACTTCTATCACAGCACTATGGTAGCAAATGTATACATTTTGTTGCTACTTACAAAATTATATTAACAAAAGGACTATAAAAAATTAAAATTGAACTCTTAAAATCTTAAGGATGCACTATACTTCTAGAAATTCACATAACGGTGACTCTGCTCATTTCTTACCTCTACCAAGTAGAGTTTTATCTTCCTTTCATAAGTGGGACCAGGAATTTCTAAATCATTTAGAAGTATAAGCCTTCTCTTGCACAAACTTTTCTTTTACATCCTGTATTGCTCATATCTTTCCAGATAACCAGGAAAAGCACCTGCTACATGAACATTGTTCTATAGCTTAAATACTAAGAGTTCAAACTCTCAGGACATCAGGTATTACTGTTCCTGCCCTTGCACATTTTGAAATTATATACAATTGCTTCATGAACATATTGGAAATGTTTTTATTTTCTACTGTTTGAAAAATTTCTCCTTCAAATTGGACACTAGATATTAATGCTCAGTTGAAAGAAAGTCTAAATAAATGCAGATGGCCACACAGTCACAGAATAGTTGAAGCTCGAAGGGGAATAGTGAACCAGAACTACTGGAGCATGCAACAGAAGAGGCAGCGTTCAAAATGTGATAGCCTATATGTTCACTGAAATAGGATACAAGCCCCAATATAGTGGCCAGCCTTGCCTACAAAATCCCTCAAAGCATGCCATTTCTGCCAAGTAGCTAACAGATAGAACAAACAAGAAGGGATCACTCCAATTCCCATTCCTGCTCAGTATGAGACAGAAAATCCCCTTAATGGTGCAATGCAATGATATAATTTATGCACTAAGTGAACAAGATGGTCATAATCTTGTGGAAAGCCCCTGAAGTAGAAACCAAAGTTGTAATGAGCTTAGTTGTATTTGATGTATTAACCTATGAATATGATACGGGAATTATGATCCATAAATTTTACACTGGTCTTTAAAAAGGAAAATAACTGGAGAAGAGATACAAATTTTATCATTTAAACAAATGCTTCTCAGTACCTATGGAGTTAGCCATATTTTCAGAATCACAGCAGCACCCAAAACGTTGCCATTTGCCTAACTCTTTCTTAGAAGTATACAGCAATGGACAAATCTATTTTGGATTTTGCTATGGTTTTCCCTCCATGCACCACTGCAACTGAAAACATGAATCCTAGGTGTGCAAGCAGGTACACCAGCCTAATGTAATGCAATATACAAAATGACAAAGATCGTGAAGCTAACATATATGGAAAGATTGTTCCTTAAGCTTCCAAGCCCTGTTCCATTTCAGTAGCAAACTGCTATCAAGTCATTCATCCAAACACAGGACAAGTTTGAATATGAGGTGATTTCAGAGGTGCTCTACATGTCTCTAACTAGACAGAAATAACATGATCATTTCAGCACCACTAACAAAACTAAGAGAAAAACTCTCAGCTGTTTCAAACTGATGGATGTACAAACACTGAAGCTGACAGGCCAGCAAAACAAACTGGCAGGAGCCAAAACAATCCTCACTTGCAGATGATTATATATTCTTTCTTCACAAGATTGCTTGCATGCCAGTTCCAAGTACAGGATGGAAGGATGGGTGGGCCAGTATCTGTAACAATCAATTATGAATTCTACACAGATGCTTGCTTCTCAATAAACATGTGGGATGACATGTATGGTGTGACAGAACATAAATTATATGCAGAGAAGCCCAGACTAATAAACTTCAGATCCTGATTGCTGATTGTTAGACCTTACTACCTATCCTTACTGAAACTGTGTTGTCTTGCTCTACACATCCCTGAGTTATTGGGTCTTCAGCAGTAATTCTGGCACCAAGGCTAGTTGGCACTTGCCCATAACCCTGTGCTGATGGAACAAAGCAGGAATAAAAGCCAACAAGCTTTGAAGACTGGTGGAAAAACATGACTTTGAACACAGAACAACTCATTTTTCCTCTACATTCCTAGATCTCCTGCACTTCCTTATAAAAACAGACTCCACAAGGAGCTCCCAAGTACTCTGCCTCATACTTGCAAGCAGTCTTGCAAACAGCTCTGCTCCTCTACATTCTGAAAGCTCCTGCTTTTTAGCCTGGAGTTATTTCAGACAGCCACTAGTTTTTGGGTTGTTTTTTTTTAAAGACTACCAAAGATCATAACTTGTCCTTATGCAAGATATGTTTGAGCTACACAACCTCATCATCTGCTAGCAGCTGCCGCCTCAAAAATCAAGACAGCTCAGCAGTGTTCACTTCTGTGTAAAAGAGCCCATTTTACTTGCCTAGGGCAGAAAACCATGATCCTGAAAGACAGTAAAAATCCTGCCAATCAGCTGTGCCAGGCAGATACTCACTGGCCCTTCTGTCAAAAAACAGGCCACTATTTTAGAAATAAGATTTTTTTTTATAAATATATAAACTATTGATAGGTAGAAACATATGACTAAAGTGATAAAGCGCAGATCTCTGCAACAGATACAACTATTCATTGGCTGCTATTTTGTGAATTCATTATTTTTGTGAATTCATAGTGCAAATAAGTGAAGAGCACACTGCAGTGATAAATACTGTGATTGTCATGTGTTATATGTTACTACGGTAACATATATGTGTATGTAAATATGTAATAGTTCTTCTGACTAATTCACCCTGCCATCAGTTCCATCAGTCAGAGATAAATAGCTGCTTCATTATTAGAAAATCTAAGCATGAGAAATGCAGAACATCTGTCAAATATCCTATGTAACACATTTAAAATACCATACTTCAAAAGAATGCAATTACTTTCTGTAAAATGCATAGGACAGCAATTTAAAACTAATTAGCTATGTAGCTTCACTAGTCTTCAGCCTTAGGATCATAAGTGTTTTCCTCAAACAAAGTTAAGAATAGACATAGGTTTTCTGTTTTCCAATTTCACATTCTGAATAGTGCAGCCTAATAAAAAAATTAGCCCAACATATTAAATAACTTATCTGGCCTATAAAAAACTACCTACAATTAATTTTCTCTAGAAAATAGTCATTAATTCGTATCCAGTAGTCTGACACTTGGATATCTAAATTACACAGTTGTTATGCTAGGTGTAAAAGAAATCAGGCCAGTAAATGACAAAAGAATTGTTTAGGAAAGGCTCTGAACAGAGTCAGAAATCTGACAATTTAAATTAATAAGTAAAGTCTTAAGCCAAGTCTTATTGCATTTTTAGGCTACATTTTCAGATACAGAAGCTATTTATAGCCTGTTTGTACAGACATACATACAAAGTTTGAATACAAACTTTTTACTGCAGAAGTAAGTATAGTATTATGTATTCTGATACTGCTCAGAATACACTGGGTTTTTTTTACTGACCTCAATTTCCACAGAATTGTGCAACTGACACAAAGTGAGCCACAGAATTTCTAACCTAGAAAGAAAAAAAACAAAACAAAACAGGAAAATGATTGAGGAAAAACATCTACAGGTATCAAAACAGTAGTACGTTATGCTCCAAAGTCTTCAACTAGAATATGATCATGTTTAGATAAAAAAATTAACAGAAAGGTGGAACAAAAGCAATTTGCATTGAAGTTGCATCTTAAAAGATATCCAAACAGTAATATGATATACAGGTACTAATACATCCAGTAACAGATGACGTATGTACAGTGTGTACAGAAAGAGTAAGCGCATATCAGGAAAATGTTGCATTCAGCATAGAGTTGGCAAGATTAATTACAACTACTTGTTACCTTGGTTTGGAAGCAAAGTTCATGAAATGCAGTATGTGTGTCTTAGTAGCCTAAGACACAAAATAACTGGGATCAACTTGACCTTAGAAAGCAGTAAGAATCAAATCATAGCAAACCTAACTTAGGGAGCAGTGTTAGTAGCAACAGTTTATACAGTATGTGGGTAGTTAGAGCAATCAATCATTATGAGGTGAGGGCTAGTCAAAATCCTCTTAAGTAGAGATAAAGTGCAGTTCCTAGAAGCAACACCCTACTCATTTTGCTACCAGCTCATTCAGGGCTGCAACATGTTTTTTCTCCCTTGTTTCCCACTGAACTTCCAAAACATTAAAGCAAAGAAAAGGGGAAAAAACAAGAACGGAACTTGTGATTTGAAGTTTATATCACTGACAGGACATGTGTAAATGTGGTTTCTAAACCTTGTCCAAGAACATTAAAAAACCCCAGTAAGTTACAAGTGAAGTCTTCTGTCAACTTCTGTAATCCTCAAAGATTGAACCTTAAAATTTAAATATCAATTTTAAAACTGACAGAACCTGTATCCAACTCAAGTCTTATGTAGGAAAAAAAAAAAGTTGTATGCTATAGTCAATCTGTGTTTTCAAGGTGGAGTCACAGTCAATCTGTCAAACCAGTAAAAACATTACTTTCCATAAATGGAAGAAAGTGACTTAAGTTTCCAAGTTCTCAATCCATTTTTGAGGCTACACCACTTCTGAAGAAACAAAATACTCCTGAATACAGCAACATTCCCTGATTAAATTTTGGCTAACACTGTGACAGAGGAAGAGAGGCATTTGCTGAGGAAGTGAAGACTGCATCAGTCTTAACAGTATTTTCTGTCAAGACATCAGAAACACATTTTAGGTCACTCAGGAGGATTAATCCTAATTAAATAAAGCTGTAATTTAAACTGACCCAGTAAATTTGCGTAACATCACACACCTCAGATTTTTAATTTAACATTACTAACAGAGTTCAGCACTTCCGAGTGTTTTGTACATTAAAGTGATCTGAGGCAACAAACCTACAATTTCCTTCCCTCTTCCTTCTCCTTGTGTTCTTGACTCCTCAGGTAGGACACTAGCTGGACATAAGCTATTCACCTTTCTCCCCTCTGGCTGCATTAATTTGCTAGATGAACTGCAATGCAAATGCAAGGGAAGAGGTAGGAGCTCACTGAGAACAGAAATCCCTGCATGCAGCAAATACTGTAGCACCTACTTTAGACGTTATCACGGATTCATCTACTTCTAATGTTACGATTTAATTGAAAGCGGAACCTTTGAAAGTGATCAATGATCTCCTCAAGTTTCCAAATCATAGAATCACAGAATGGTTTGGGTTGGAAATCACCTTAAAGTTTACCCAGTTCCAACCCCTCTGATACAGGCAGGGATACCTTCCACTAGACCAGTTTGCTCCAAGCCCTTTTCAACCTGGCCATGAACTGCCAGGGATAGGAAAGCCACAGCTTCTCTTGGCAGCCCGTGCCAGTGCGTCACCACCCTCATAGTGAAGAATTTCTTCCTAGCGTCTAATCTAAATCTCCTTGCTTTCAGTATAAAGCTATTTCCCCTTGTCCTATCACTACAGGCCCTTATAAAAAGCCCCTCTCCAGATTTCTTGTAGGCCTCCTTCAGGTACTGAAGGCTGCTCTATACCTTCACTGAGCCCTTACTTATCCAGGCTGAACAACCCCAACTCTCTCAGCCTATCTTCACAGGAGAGGTGCTCCAGCCCTCTGTTCACCTTAATGTAGACATGTCCTTAATTAGATCTGGTTAACAGTCCACCTGAAGGTGCAAAATTAATTAGCACCTAATTCTAAGTTATATGAATCTTGGCTAATTTTCCTCATTAGTACTAAAGTATAGGATATCAGGTGGGACATTCAAAACAACATTTCCCCAGGAGGAGGCTAATGGCAAGCCATTAACCATGCAATTCAACTCCCATTTACTTAAGGTTCAAAATTTCTTGGTTTGATCTTCATCTAAACATTTCAGAACTTCAACCCCAACATGAAAATAAAGCTAAAAATAGTTTTTTAAAACAAGCAAGAACTGCTTCGTTTAGTATTTTACATCACAGGAACTTGCTAAGAACCTCTAGAATAACATTTTGTTTTTAAAAAATCAAGTTACATTCAGACAAGGTAATGGAAAAAGTATCTCCAAATGCCCTGAGTGGGTTGACTGTTTCCATGGGACTACACCAATTTAAAACAATAGCCATACAGATTTTATACAGAAAGACACCAAATTGATTTGCAGGCAATAAAACACATAAAGCAGAAGCAAGTTGTTTCACTTCAGGTACTTGGCTAAAAAAATTTGAAATAAAAACCTAAAATCCATTCTGCATACCATTAAAATCATAGAAGTAGACTGCTTATACCTGGATTCCTCTGAATATTATAATAATAATTAGGGAATACTAGATAAAAGATATAAATTTATCCCAAAGAATAAATTTACTAGAATTACTACTCAACTATACATGCCTGTAAGTCATGTAAACAAGAACTAATGAAGGAAAGTGATCATGATGCAAGCAATAAAACACAAACCACTTACGCTCCCGGCCCTTGCCATGTCCATGTGATTGTATCCTAGGAAAAGAGGGATGATAGTTGCAATTAATCACTGCACTTTAAACTTTTGTTACACTATAGATAACTGATGACATATGACTAAAAGGTTTTCATGGAAACTTCAATGCCCTCTGCAAAAGTTCTTAGTCCTACGAGCAATCAGCCTAGTAATCTACCTTTTAAACACGTAATATCTATATTTAGAAAACAGTTAAAGATGCAGAGACTCTTAAATGTTGTTAACCTTGGAAAAGAAAGTTATGTACTCTAAGAGGATGTTGCTTGCTATGCATTGTCCATATATATTTTCCTAACCCACCCTGCTCAACAGGGTGTCCCTCAAGTGTCCCTATACTTTACTTGGACCTCCCAGCAACAGATACGAACATGCTGTAACATGAAGAGTCTTGGACCTGTGGGGATGACTCACAGGAAATCTGCTCAACTGACATGAGCAGCAGGATAAGTAAGACCTTTGTGTCTTACCTCAAACAGTATTTTTCCAGTTGCCTTTACTCACAGACATCATGTATTCACCTGCCTGATCCAAGAATCAAAAAGGTACAAGACATCTAAACCCACCAATTTACTCTCAGGCAAAACCAGCACCACTTTTATATGACTCAGATGAACCATGTATGCTAAGAGAGGACAAACAGCAGTAAAAGAAATGAACAAGATGCAAATAACAAAAGGGAACAGCGATCTGGAAAGGAGCGTATAACAGGGGACAAGGAGGAATATGACAGTAAAGGTCATCACATTTTTAAGACTAAGAAACTGTATGGAGAAAAAACTGCAATACTGGGAGACAAGATTTAAGTGTAGAAGTAAGGATTAAAAAAAACTGAAAACAAGTTCCAGCTACTGTTTTGACCAACTGAAAAAGAAAAAAAAGTACAAATCACTAACGGAAAGATATGAGGACTTGGTAATTCAAGTTTCTGAAAGATCAGAGGCATACTTCTGTCAACCTGCTGAAATTATTCTAGTTCAGTTCTGTGCTAATACAAAGAACCGTTTTAGAGAGTTACATGATCACACGTGCCATGATCTTGAAAAAAAACAAGTCAAACTCATATTTTAGGTACCACTTAGAGCAAAAGGTTGTCACAATTAAAATGAAAGAAAGCAACGCATCCATAAAAAGTGAAAACTGTGATGAATGTGGTAGATCAACTTGGAGTAAAGTCAAAATATTGTAAAGGACTACTAAATATTTAAATCTTGACTTTCAACTATTATTTTAAAGTCAACCAAAATATATGGAACAGTTCTATATCTAGCAATCAACATACATGCACGAAAATAGACTTCGCCATGCAGTGATCTTTTAGAACTTTAATGTCTTCAGTTTTACTGTTGAACTGTTTCTGGCAATTTTGATGTCTCTGGTAATACTGAAAATAGAAGTTTTACAGGGTTTTTCCCCCCCCCCCCAAGAAGCTTTTATTTACAAATCCTGACATCTTGGCGATGTAGATAGGTGGTAATTTCTCTCACCTGAGACTAGATATGCTACGTAGAACAACACCACAGCACTATACATATCCAACTCGGCTCTCCAAATTGCAACAGTGCAAAAGGAGACAAAGCAAAAAGCCAGCTCTAGAAAACCACCTGGCCTGGGCAACTGATCACGGAACAGCAAACAAATATTTTCACATTCCAGTCACTATGCTGGAAACATAGTCAAAATATCCACTCACAAAACAAACTCAAATAAGCCACATACTTACCAGCAACCCTGCAAGAAATTCCCAATGTGAATGTCACATCAGACATGCATGTTTTTTCTCATTGAGAACTTGAGGACACAGCAGGGGTGATGGCTATAAATGCTACATAGTAGAAAACAGGATTCTGGTCTGCAAGAGGCAGACATATTTTGTAGGAGACTCTTGCCAGAATATCCAGTATTTTTACAATAAAAAGCAGGAAGCAGAAGATGGGAAGTTGTATATTCTGTACTTAGTTCAGATACCTTTTATATTTATCACAGCTACCAGCTTATCTTTATGGATAGAACTCACTTTGATAGCATTCTGAGTACACTTGGAAATTTTTGCATCTAGACAATGAATTCTTTGAACTGTGTGGAAGTACATCTTCCATATAATTTTTATTTGACACAAGAAGATACTGAGAACAGTGCCAAACTTCAAACAGCAGATTGGCTGTTGTTTTGTATACTCAGTCAACCCTGGTACACCAAAGCTGCACAGGAGATGCTGCCAAACCTCTTATCAAATAGCAGAGTTACCTGTAGAAGACACCTGGATATAAAAATACATTTAAAATGGCTCTGTGATATTTAAACAGGTAGATAGCCTTTCATAATTACCAGCACTCTGACAGAAAACTCAAATGAAGGAAAGACGCAAAGATAACCAGTGTAAAAAAGAATTGCAAAATGACTCCTGTATAACCTCTGGATGGAAACATTAGAACATTTATTTTAATCATATTATAGGTAATAACTGTCTAGCATCCAACAGGCAAAATGCTACCAAACTAGCTAAACAGAAGTAAATTTTTGAATTTCATGTCTAAACAACATTTTAAGCCTTACAATTTCTTTCCACTCGTGCATCAAGAGGGGCAACATACTAACATACTACTCCTAAAAAAAACATTGATACGGGACCAGAGGCATCATGTACTGCAAACAGTTGTAAGCCCAAAGAAAAAAGGTATTCAGGGGGCAAGCCTGACTATAGAGTTCTTCATGGCAACCAGAATTAGATTTATTTTCTAGAGAAAGCCCGAATTTACATTACCAATTCTGCCACAAGTTCCAGTCAATAGTACTTTCCCTAGTTCTTGAATAGAGTACAAGGAAATCAACATGTAAATCACACACCTACTACATTCACCCCAGGCTCCGATCTCAAAAAGCCCCCCAGAAGAGTCAGGTGCACTCAAGTTCAAGAATGTTCTCAACTGTACTGTGTAACTCAGAGCTCTGGAGGTGGATCAGAGCAGGCAGTCCAAGCTAAAAGCAGTGGGGTGACTGAACACACCGCGTATCCAGAATACACTGACTAAGCAAAGATCTTAAACTCCTTTATAAACCTAAAATTATAATATGCAGTGGCCAAACAAAACAACAGTGCATGCAAAACAATGTTTCCTCCCTACTCTGTTGCTCTTACTCGCTATCTAACTCTTAACTGTACCCTAATCAAAATAAACCTCACCTTCACACATCACATCATGTTTCTCCTTCCTCCGCTTTCTAACCTTGCTGCAAATCTTCTTCAGCCCACCCAAGCTAATCTAAAAATCAAACATTAATAGCAATTATCCCTCCCTCATTAGTGCTTAGTGGAAGCAGACTGTAGGAGGTTAAAAGATTCTGTAAGGCACTGAAAACTAAGTGTTTTAAAGCAATCAAAAGTGGTAGGAAAAAGTAAAGTTCCATGCACAGATTCAGGCCAACTCTGACGGATATCTATATAAATATTTAGAGTTTGTTTTATGACATTTTGCAGTAATATAAAAAAAAATGGAAAATTTCATTAAAACTTACACTGTTTTACTTCAATGTAAAAAGCTGACCATCTCTGTTAATAGAACATTAGGAATATTTATTATTAGCTGAAACATTGCATATTAAGTACTACAGGCAATAAGGACATTTCAGTATGAAAATGGATTTCTGAAGACTTTAACATTTGATAGTTTTATATTGTTATAAAATGTTTTACGCTAATATACCATGTTACTTTCAGTGAAGTATGATATCAGGCATGTGCACATTTGCAACTTAAACTGCCAGTGCAATAAACATTCTTTTCTAAAAGAATTTTTCTTCCTGAAAATAAAACAATTATGTAATGAGAAGTCCCAGGCAACTTGTTAAAACACACTTCATACTATGCAAGCATAACAGGCAGCTATTCTTGTCACAGCATCCACAAAGATAATTTTGGGCTTTGTCACTGCAAACTAGTTGACTGCCATCACACCATGTCTCAGTCAAGAGCTAACAGTGCTCTATGTAAACTACCTTTGCTTAGATTCTTTACTTTTTTAACCAAGGATGTGTCTTATACCAAACTTTAAAGTGAAAGAAAGAACAATGGTTGGAACCACTTTTAAGTGCTACAGGTACCAAGAGGAGCTGAAATCCTTCCTAGATCAAGGGGTTAAAGGGCTAGTCAGAGATCTGATGCGACAGGCATCAGCCAAGGTAGTCCTTATTTTACTTCTGACGCTTCTCCCACCCTCTCCTAAATAAGTTCTATTTTTGAAGCGGACAGACTAGATGTGAAAACAGCCCAAGAGGGCTCAAAAAGAAACTTCAAGTATAAAAGCAAGCAAAGTTCTCCAAGCAGCATCTTCTAATTAACCAAGGAATGCAGACAGACAGGATTCTGGCTGCAGTAGGACAAGAAAGTATTCACATCAAGTAAACTGAATAATAATTAAAAAAAAACAAACAACCAACCCAAAACAAAAACCACAATATAAAGCTCTTCTCTGCTTTCCTGTAGGCTTGTTCTTGAAGTTGGTAAAGTGAGCTTTGTCTTAATTTGTTAGCCTATATCTTTAAAAGCATTTGTAAAAATCAATTTATATATTATTAAATACACACTATAATTTGCATTTTACCCGAATCTGATTTATATTGAAGGACTACTCCAAATTAGTCAATGTCTAGCATCCCTTAGCCAAGCGCACAGTAAATGCAAAGCATGGACAAGAAGACACATTATGGAAGTGCTGAACTCCTCAACATATTACTCTATTATCATTTAGCTAGTTGCATTAATTTACGACCAACACCCCCACAGGTAGGGGGTGCAGAAGCATCTTCCAGCAATAAATGATATCAAGAAAACTCTTCAGCACACACTGAAGTACAGGGAGCACATGGGAACACAGATCCTAGACAAGACAAATGTCAGTTTCTGTCACTTGTACAGTACTTCCTGTAACAAACTGAATAACTTTTAAAGCACTATTTAGGAGCAACCTAATAAAAGCAGAAACATTTGAACTGTCTCAGTTGAGATTATTTATACTGCTAGAGGCTTAACAAATGCACATTTAGCCAATAAGCATTCATTAATGATTTTCAAATTTCTAAACCTATTTACCCAACCTAAAAGATTACAAAAGTGCCAATGTTCTTAGAGGAAATGCCCCATGTTTCCAACTGAACTTACCAGTTTGTTTGGATAACGTAAAACCACTGGCTGTACCGGAACTCCAGGAATGAACGCTCCTAGAAGGCAAATATCACACAATCACTGTACAGTGCATTTTGGTACAGAAGTTTATTGCAGAAAAAAAAGTATACAATTAATGAACTGATATGCACAGAAATGAGTTGATATTGGAAAAAATAAGATCTGAAAGTAGCCTTAAAAGTAATCTAAAAAGCAAGCACTGGAGAATGACAATGCATCTTTTCAGCAGATAAATAATAAAGAATGCTTGCTTATATTTTCTAATTTATCCTCTACCACTTTCACAATTTGTCATGTACACAAGTCAAAGCCCAGTACCAAACTCAGATTCATAGATGATTAAAAAAAAAATAAATATGAGCATGTGCAACATAGTTAAGTCGATATATTCCACGTGGTCAACAGCAGTTATTGGTGAAGCACCTAAGCTTTCGTATTGAAAAGCAGCGTTCTATTTTTAGCTGAGCAACATCAATTTATAGGAAATTTATCACCTCTGAAATAACAAAATTAATGTAACTTCTGTCACTAGTTAGTTAGAAAAATCTAATAGAAAGTATTGAACTACAACTATTGTACCCTAGTATCACTTCATTTCATATGAAAATTACAGTTCTGATAAATAAGTAGCACACAATCCGTAAGTGCCATTTACTTGGTTTCTAGCACAAAGAGTGGGTAAGAATGGTAGGTCTCTTGCTCAAAATTTCTCTTATGATCTTTTCCTCATGAAAACAATTAAAGACAGCTGCACTGAAAACTATATAAATTGAAGCAATTTACTAAGTTATGCCTAATATTTTGATTAAAAAAGAAACAAACAATGGAATTACACTGCATTCTTAGCATTACATTTGCTTTACAAAATAATTGGCCAGACCTAAAAGAAGCAACTGTTAATGTAGTATAAACATCTTTAAACTAAGGTTGTCTGAATGAGATCCTGCAGAGATTTGGTTCTTGGCCCAGTGGTACTTTCTATTCAGTCTCCAAAAACAACAGCCTAAGCAACTTTTGAAAGAATCTGAAGATGACAAAATCTGAATGGCAGATGACACCACCACCACTGAAACAAAACTTGACTAGCTTGCCATGTACGACTAGCTTGTACAAATACAAAACCAAAACACTTTGTAGGTAAGAGCAAGGAGTGTAGGCCACATGAGGAGAATGGGAAAAGGCACTGTGATGGAATTTACTTTAATAGAGAGCTGAAGTAATTTGATGTGAGAAATTTTGGCCCAAAGAATTTCTGAGAGGCTGGATGGATACAGAAGCAGGTTCCAGTAGGAAAAGTGAGACAGTCAAGGCGCAGAAAGCAGTAAGTACTAGACCAAAGGAAAAGGAAGAGTAGAGAGGAAGAATGGAGATTGAGGCATAAAGGCACAGAGGGAAGGTGTGAAATCCGGGCTTTAATGAAGGATTCAGGCTGTTTTTCAAAGCATGGCCAGGATTCAGGTGGAGAGCAATACAGAGGGAGAGTAAAAAGCAAAAAAAGAGAATGTTCTCCTAACCACCACACGTTCATCTCAAACAGACGAGAGCTGAGTGGGGAGGAAGAAAAGCTTTTTGAATATTTGTTCAGGAGACAACACTGAGATTCCTTCAGCCAAATGAATCAGTCCAAGGAATCACAACGTTGACTCATCACATGATATTCTAAAAGTGATATGCAAGTTGTAAACACCACAAAATACAAGACGCACAGTAAGACCAGAACACAATGAGCTAGGCAGAAACCTCAGAAAAGTTAAAAAAAAAAACAACCAAACATTCACAACTGCGTTGCTCACTGCAGTCTCCTTATTCGCCATCTCCCTACCTACTTCATAAAGTCAAGCTTACATTAAACATTGGTGGTTCTCTACAGTATTGGCATGTCTCCCTGTTGCAACTGCAGTTTACACCTGCAACAATGTTCAGAGTTATACCCTCTAAATGGAAAGAGCTTAGACTATGAATGTTAAGTTAAAAAAATATTATAAGAAATGATAGCCTCTGTAACAGCGGTATACTGGCAAGACTCTTATGCCTTCCTCACCAGAATGCAGCTCAGCAGAAGAATGAGAGGAATCAACCACATACAACACAGCAACAAATGCTGCAGCAGCCTGAAATAGATACACACTGATACCTTAAGCTTTATAGCATATTTTAATGCTGCATGACAGACCCAAAATAGGAAATGGAGGGGGCAAGAGAAAGAAAAAAAGACAACCACAAACAAAATCCCAGTAAGAAACATTACTCCTCCAGCTCATATGCATCTCAGAAGCCAAGAAAAAAAAAAAAATAAATCTGAATTACCTGGTTTGGTCAACAGTGGAACTCAATCCTTTCCTAGCATCATAAAATTTCTATTCCCATTCTACCCTACTGCAAGATTTTTAACTCAACTTCTGCAACAGCAAGAAAATTACAATGCAAGTGGTACTTCAGAAAATGAAGATACAAGAACATTCTGTAGAGAACAGCAAAATGAGTATCATACCTACCAGGCTTGAATGTAATTAGACAGGATCGGTTTGTGCAAGTGCCCTCTGGGAATATCATTATCTTGAAGTAAAAGAAAAATTGACTTTTAAATCCACACTGAAATAGTTCTTATTTATAAACACATCTTTTCAAAGCTAACATTAACTGAGTACAGTAAAAAAGTTTCATAGCAAAACAGTTCAGATTTAAAAAAAAATAGTGCTCAACGAAGAAGTCAAAGTTTTCTCTTAATAGCAGAAACACTTTCTTTATTTGTGATTTTCGCCTCTTTCTTGACCTCTGATAATAATTCTATTCAATTGGAACACTGATAGTGACCAGAAACATTTGTGAGACCAAGAGAACTTTCACAAGAGATTTTGGTGCTGCTCAAAATAGCATAATCTGTTCTGCACCAAAACAAAATTCCTTCTCCCAGGCTACCTGCTTACAGGGTAAGAAAAGGAAGACTTACATTCTTTTTGCTTTTACTACTTGGATATGCACAGGTGTCAGAATGACAAAGGCTGAAAATACCTAAACAGAATTCTAACAATTTGAACTGAATTCAGAGGGTAGACTGTAAAAAAAAAAAAAAAAAAAAAGTTTTGGACAGCAAAAAGCCAAGAACTGCTGAAATTTTGTGAAGAAAAAGACATTTAAAGGAAATATACATTACAAGGGGACAAAGTAATGAACTAGAATTAACAATACTAGTTTTATTGCCCACTCTGGTACTAGCTTGATAGATATTCTGCAAACCACTTCAGTTCTGCAACACAGTTTCTTCATCTGTAAGTAAGATTATCTGCTTTGAAATCTATTGAAAGTCATGATGTGAAAGCTACATATCACCTTTTTGTCACACTGTTTATAACTTTTAATACTGTTTACAGTATTTCTGCAGTCCAGTATGACAGTTGCTATGACAGTCATCCTGTATCTTTATCTCAAAAATTTACAGAAAGAATGCTTCAAAACAAAAATAGCTCCAAGCCACTTATTTTGGACCACATGATGAATGCATTGCTAACAGAGGTGTATACCAGTTATTGGAACATCTGAATTGCTTGTGCTGTCTTGGACAGTATCACATCTCCAAAAATGACAGTATGCCAAAATCCCGAGAATGGTCAGAACACACAATACTCCCCCAGGTATTCTCCTGAGCACCTGACTACTTTCTTCTTAGAGAACTTACCATATGACAGCAGCTTTAGAATGACTTAGAGCTGTTTGTCCATGTACTTACCAGCCAGTATCCCCTTGAAACATACTGCAATGAGATGGCAGTGTTTTGTATAGATAAGAATCTTCTATCTTCTAGAAAGGATGGGGTGGGGTGTGGAAATCCTATCCCTCACAAACCATCTAAAGCCTCCCACAAGTTAAAATGTAAACTGCATATCCAAAGCCTGGAAATACCAAATTCCATCTGTCACACAGTAGTAGTATACAGTACCTGTGGCCATTTACCACCAGACTGAGCACGCCTCTTTATTTCTTCAACAGTTTTCCTGCGAGAATCCTGGTCTGACCGAGATACAAACACTGGTCGGATGTATCTGATTAGAGCTGAAGAGGAAGGAAAACAAAACCAGCCTTTATTTCCCCTTTGTTTGAAAAATATTTCCTCCCCTCCCAGTAGTCCTCTGAACAAGTACATAACCTTTTGGTACAAGTACATAACGACTTTACTACATTACACTGCAAACTGAAATACTCAGCTGAATTACTGCCATTTTATTGAGACATTTTCATAAACTCCTGTAAGGAAAACCGTTTTCATAATTCTGGCAATTTCTACTTGGTCAAGTTTTAATAGAACAATACACATACATCACAGATAATTTAAAATATGATTGTACATATTATGCGTAGGTTTTTGCAACAAATCAGCTGTGCCTGACTATAGGCCGTTTCCTTCTACTACAAAAGTCACAAAAATCTATAGACACTCCCAACGCAGCAAAGTATGTCTCTATGCAAGTGCTTCCAAAACACATTCTCTGAATCAAACTCCCGCTGTCTTTAGAGCTTTTGTCTTCTATGACAGCTCAAATTCACTGAAGATACACCAGAGATACTCCAGACACAGTTACCGTTTTGAAATCAGCATCATCAAAAAAAAAAAAAAAAGCATGCTTCCTTCCTAAGATGTCACCTGCATGCCTGTTCCTCATACTAGGTATCTGGCATACTCTTCTTGGCTTGGTGGGAAACCTCTTATATACAGCGAGACACAAAACGAGCATGAACAAGAATCAGAAATCAATCTACAATATGCTCTCCATGCAAATCTGTCACAAGGACACCAAGGCCCACTTAGAAAATAAATATCATATACAACTCTTTCACAGTGTCAGAAAGCACTACAAGGGAAGCATCTTCAAGTATACTACTTCATGCTTTTATTTAAGCAGGTTGTCTTCAAATACCTTTTTATCATTTTTGTGTCTTGTAAATACATTCAAAGGTTCAAGAGTCACTAAATAATTAACTATTCTATTTGCCTAAAAAAAAAGAAATAAAATACAGCTTTTATTTTTCCAGCCACCATGGGATGAGCTCACTGACACAAGCTGCATAATCTTCTTTAGTCAAGGATAAACTTGTTGCATTAACGGATCAGCAGTGCTTAAAGTGTGAAGAATAAAAAGTGTAAGAAATTAGAGTCCTGTTCTCAGCAAAAGCTGCTGGTTCTGGTGTTACTTCACTGGCAGCTCAGCCAGCAACTCATCAAAATCCTACTGTGGTTCTGTGAAACCTATCTGTCACACTTTACAGTAAGTTCCAAACATTCAGACAACCTCTGAAATACTGCTTTTATCCCACAGGCTGCTGAAGCTTAGGAGATAGTGTATCAGAGAAAAGTTACCATGTTCTTGCACTTTTCCCTACATGCCCGTTCTTATATGGTATCCATACAACAATGCTCACTAGGGAAGCAAAAAATCATCATGGGTCAGCTGGGGTTCCTGCTGTGGGAAGGTAAAACAAAACAAAACAAAAAAAAAACAAACCCAAAACCACCATATACAAAAAAACAAAGCAAACCAAAAACAGGACAAGGGATAAAATATGTGAAAGAAATCATACTTTGTTTCATAGAACCACAGAATCAACCAGGTTGGAAAAGACCTTAAAGATGTTCAAGTCCAGCCTTTACCCCAGGACTGCCATGCGCACCACTAAATCACATCACTGAGGGCCTCACCTGCACGTTTTGTCCACTTCCAGGGTCAGTGATTCCACCACTTTCCTGGGAAGCCTCTTCCAATGCCTGACCACCCTTTCAGTGAAGAATTTTTTTTCCTAATACCTGTACCTGTTTGTTTTCTTAGTGATGCCAGACCTGAGTTTCCCCTACCACTGCAAACTACTATTCTGTAGCAAAACCAGCATTACCAAGAAAAGGAAAGCAAAAAAAGATTCAAACATCCTCAGCCTTCACCCTGAAGTTTCTTTTACATTAGGCCCATCTGATGGAATTCAGGTTACTTCAGGCCAAGGACTGCACAAGATAAAGGCTTCAGAGTTCTGGAATTATTTGAGGATATGCTGCAAGCAGTCTTCTTTATAATACATGAAATTAAGCAAGCAGATAGATTTTACATAGGGCAGTATGACCAAAACATGAGCCTATAGACAACTCACCAATTCGGAGTCTCTAACAACTAATGTAATCTGTATCTGAAAACCGGGCAGGCAAGCATTGTTAACCTGGGAGCTTTACTCTTACAATCTTCCCAAATAGCAAGCTACTGCAGTGTTACCAAGCCCTCAAAAAACCAACCACACGGCATGTTCTCTTACAAATGGACACCACCACAAACAGCAACACACCCAAGTGCAAAGAAAAACTATTACAGTATGCTTAAACAGAAGAGGCAACTGAAAGCTTGGTTTCCTATGGATTTGTTCTGCCTGGTGAGTTACATGATATAAAATAGGCTTCAAGGCAAGTTCATTTCTTCTCTCCCAGTTCAGACACTATTTTCACACAGCCTGTAGAACTTTTATCTTTTAAACCATCAGCTTTCTTTCAAATACGTATGAAGCCATCACTATTTCAGCCCAGCACATCAAAACTTTATATATTGTTTATTATTTATAAACCTTGTCTATTAAGCTAAGCTTCCTTCAGGATCAGACCAAAAATATGACAAAAATCTCAGCATTAAACAGCAACTTAAGATCCTATAAGACATTGAAACTCTCACGTCATTAGTAACAAGCTGAAAAAGTACATACCATGGAAAGGCTAACTCTGTACTTGCCTTTCCTCATACACTCTTTTTATAACCATGTTTTAAAACAGAGCATAAGGCTACACAGATCCTTACTCTCACCATGTATTTTCATGTTCAGTAAACAAGACAGTAATCTGAAAATTCAAAGGCTGTACCAAGTTGATCTGTGCAAGAAATAGTCAGGAGCAGGGCCAAGAGTTTGTAAAGAGAAACTGAGAAACATACCAAATAGGTGGACAAGCTGAGGCTGCAGTCAGAAATCGAGTCATAACATAGGAAGCCCTAGAGACAGTACTGTAAAGTAGTATGTAAGGCAAGGAATAAGCTGGACTAGAGCAAAGTCAGACCAGGAGCAAAAAGCAGCATGCATGAAAACACTTCAGACAGCTGGCATACTGAGCTACTAAAGGAAACAAGCAAAACTGTGCAATATGCTTAATAAATAGAACATAATCTTAACCTTCTCTGCTTGACAATTTAAGTGACCATCCTTAAACTATAAATTCTAGTGGGCAGAAAAACCCTCAATTCACAAAATTGACTTTGCCAGTGTCATTTTTCTCTAGCACTGTCAGTCCTACTTGATGTAGTCACTCTCATCCCCTGTTTCAGCTCATTACAAGTGCTCCTGAAGACAGGTGAAACACTGTACTTCACCTTCTTAGGCAGGTGCCCGCAATTTAAACAGTACCACCAGTAATTCATCAAAACCTCTGCCTTGCAGGGCAGCCAGAATGCCAGATACACTAACCAACAGAAAGTTGCTCTAGCATGAAACAGCATGTTTTAAAGGAGCCTGCAAAAATTCAATATTGCTTTAATTAATTGCAGGGTGGCAGCTCCAACTGATTTCAGAACAGTAACTCCCATGCAATCATCTCAAGCACCAGCTGATGCATAAGCAAAAACTGTTCCTTTCCGATGAGCTGAACACATACAATTGCTGTCAATGGACTTCTCAGAATAATGGGGTTGGGAGGATAAGGGGGAGGAGGTATTTCACCTATTTCCAGGCAAATGAGGGTGAGGAAACCTCATTTCAAATCAAGACATGAAGTGCTATTTATATAAAAAAGTACTGCAATAAACCATTTAAATTATGCTGGACAGTTACAGTCATAGAGTAAAGCTACACTGGCACCACCACCACTGGTCTATAAGGTATCAGAGAACACAAAGCAACAGAATGGTACCGTGGCACTGAATACAGTACTAAAACGTACCCATACACACATTTTTGAGTAATAAGCAGTTACATCTTCACTACTGTAGAATCAGAGTGACAGCTGAACATGAAGCTTTCTCTTGGCCTCTCCCAAAAACACAAAACCCCATCACCTACATTCCTCTGATACACTGAGATGGCAACCTATGAAGCCAGCATGAACGGGGTGGACGGCTGGAGGATTAGTCTGCATACAGAAGTGATGAGTAAAGAATTTGGCATATTTTAAGTTCCAAGAGGAAAACATACCCAGCTACCACAGCATAAATAATTCTGAGTTACTTATTTCTTGTATTTTAGTATGATTCTCTAGAAATGCTTATAAAACACTTTCAGAAGGTGAGCTTGAACAAAAAAATGTGGGAGATGTGGGAAAAAAAACACCCACAAAAGAACTGATAGGTTTTACATCGCAGTATGATTCTCCCCATTTCCTCTGTAGCGCTTCCATATTCTGCCAAGTACAAATGACCTCTTTGCCATTTATACATTTAAGCTAACATATCCCCCATTCATTTCACAGGTACCAAGGTTCCTCTCTTTTTTCAGAGGGTGAAGTTACAGATGTCAAGAAGCTGATTTAAACTTCAAGCACATCACCTTAAAGTTAGTTTTTAAAAAGTCAGACCACTGAAGATGTGGTCTGAATCACAAAAGTTGTCAGTAAATTTGATTTCATGGGGATTTTGTCAGACAAATCCTTTTTCCTTCTTATTGAAGTATTTCTGCAGTAGCACCAACCACTTGAGCAATGAAAAGTAACTTTTACCCAGGTTGCTTTACCAGCCAAAAAGATAGTGAAGTGTAACTATCCAGAAATTATGCAAATAGTTTGTCCTGGCTTGACATGGGGTCCAGAAGACAAAACAGGAAAGTTTAAGGACCTATGGTGATGAAAGAACTGATCTAACTTGTTCAGCCAATGTAAAGCGCAATGGATTCCTGAATGTCATCTTTGTTGGGCTGCACACTTTACATTAAAGTGGTGCAGTGAACTTCACATCTCCAACCTATCAAAACTCTGGAAAGTAATTGCGTAGAATACATACATGTCCTTCTTCAACATTGTGGTGATGTGCTCTGTCTGTTCTCGCATTCTCCATTTTCTTTACTACTGACACTAATTGCAGAAGTCATAACTCCCCCATCAGATCAAAAGAGCATTTTTTAATATGGTTTTTCTCCCCCCCCCCCCATGAACGAAGTTGTCTGAAAAAGTCACAAGACTTAAGTCTGCTTCCAAAATTGGCCTCTGTGGTCCAGGAGAGCTGCCTTTTAAGTCAGAAAGCACAAGAATACTCAAACACACTTGTGAATACTTCCATGAAAAACAGGCTTTCAATCAACTGGACTTAAAACCAGCTCAAAAGCTTAATATTCCATGACTGGCAAACTAAGGGTACAACAAAAATAACACAGGCAGCTGCTCCAGAAACCTATTAAAATACTTTTGAAACCAATCTTGGTAACCAATTCACAATCAGATCTTTTTGTGCCTGTTATAGTACCTGATCCCTCTGGCACACAGTGTACAGTGTCTTGATAAATGTTGCCATTACATCAAAAAGGCAACTCGTCTACCTCATGTTTGGATAGCCTTGATGAAGATCTACTCTCCACTTAAAGTCCTCATCCATGGAAATTATCTTCGGATATCTTCCACTGTTACATTTTTTATATGCTGAATTCTTCTAAGAGTTAAACGAATGTATTTTATCCAAAATTCCCCAGAAGATTCTGAATGACCATTAACGAAACGAGACTCAATCAAGAAATCACAAGGTTAAAATTATCAATGGCTGGCTCCAAGACTTCACTGGATATGCTACAACAAGTTTGCAAGATTTACAAAAATGAAGAACATAAAACAATTCTGACCACTGTGGGGGAAGTTCTAGATGAATGTCTACCCCAAGAAAAACATGACCACCTTCTCACAGATAGCATAAAGAGAAAAACCACTGGCCCAATTGCATGAAATGTATTTTGTGTGTGTGTGTGTGTGAAGTGTAAATAAGTACACTGGAATTAAAATACTAGATCAAAGGAGGAGAGGATGGTCAGTACCAACTGCTTCACAGAAATCTTCTTTTAAGCAGTAAAAGATAATATCTCAACTTGACTCCATGGACAGCTTTCACTAAATTTTAAGCCCAAGTAGTCACTACAGTCATTACTCACCTTTCTGTTAAGGTCTATTTATTTTAGTAACACTAACTGCTGTAATCAATGCTGCTCATAAAAAAAGCACTGCTCTAAACCAAAAAAAAAAAACAAACCCTAATGTTTTCGAACTCCAAATTCCAGCTATAATGTTTGCCATACCCTCACCTTTGTGGCATTTTTCTAAACACCTCATAAGGGACCACATAATTTTTGTGGCTGCCTGACATAAAGTGAATGCAGCTACACAGGACAAAACACTCATTTACTTGGATGTACTCTATATTCTGGTAATATTCCATCGATTCACTGTGTGCAGTTTTCTGGGTTTTCTGTTTTTCTGTAACTAGTTTTAGTCATACATGGACAAAATTAAGTTTTTTTTTTAATTTATTTTAAGTCTAGACTTCTAAGTTAAGTTTTAAAGGACTCAATTGAATTAGGCATATGGGAAATTTGAACTACTCAATACACATCATTTGTGCTACATTGAGTGTAACTACAACCTGCATGTCCCTACAGATCCTCCTCAGATTTTCCTACTAGTCCCCACCGAATCTATTACATGGGATAGTTAAGCAGCTATTATAGCATTATATCAAATGCTACTCTGCCATTTTGTCATATTTCAGTAACACAACATGGCCTGGAGCTACCTCATTTACCTTGCGTCCTCCAAACAGCTGCAAGCAAAGGAGAGCTCCACATGGACTACTTTATTTTGCTAAGCTAGCAATTATTAAACAGTCAGTTGAGTTGGGGGGGAAGAAGATAAATCTGCCCCTGCTTTTATGGCTGGACTGCTCCTCCAAGCCCAAGTTGGCCAGGGCACACCTACACTGTACAGGAGTGTCAACATACCATCTCATAACAGTATCTTCTTTAAGTAGGAAGAGTTTAATTTCATGTTGTTTTCACACTATGCTTATTTGCAGGCATTTGTATTTATTCATGCCTACATGCTTCTTGTTAAAAGGATCTATTCATTTTTACACAGAGTTTTCACTGCCACGAAATTTCACTAAACTGTTCTAGCCTGAATTTCACCTAATGCAAAGAGACCTTTCTACCAAGAGATTCCACACATAAAGCTTCCAGGTGTAACCACTCACCATATGTGACCATGTCTCAGCTTCTGGTTTTGAACCTGTCCTTAAAACTATACTGTTTAATGAAATTTTAGGAGGATGTCAATACCAACAGCCTGATTCCACTTAGTTGCAAGGTTAATCAAAGCTTTTATTTAGACTTTTAAACAGTACCTACCCAAGGCCGAAGTAAGAACTTTTGTCCTTTTTATACTACCCTTAAAATCTACATAATGGGACACAGGAGGATCCTTTCAACCCTGATGGTCCCACAATACAACATGGTGGATTTCTCCAAAATGTTTCCACATAGGCTTTCATTAGAAGCCTACAAGGCTAAAAGCTTACACATTTTTGGCACAACTGTACCAAAAATCACAGGCCTCTCTTGAGCCTTTGCAACAATCTACACTGACAATTCCAAAGATAGTATTCAAACACTACTGACCTGGGCATCTGCATTTCTTGTGACTAAATCTGAGTGTACAATAATCCGCTCTTGCTCATCTCTCACACCATGCCTAAAGCAAGCTTATTGATGCATGAAGGATTAGCAGCCCTCCCTCAAGACAAGGCACCATTGAGAGCAGACAACATTCCTAAAACACGTTTCTGGGATGGTGCCCTGACTTGCACCATGAAAGAAGTCTTGACACACTTCCTTTCTAGCCTCACCCTTTGCTTCCATAGCCCCATCCTCACTTGCTTTTCTATTTGTCAGCCCTTAAAATATTACACTTTCACTGCGAATGTAACCATGAGTTCTGTAGGATTGTTTTGACTTTGTACAATGATTCAACTTTGGAGAAAGGGGAAAAAAAAAACCAAAAAACATATCCCTCCCAATTCTTTCTATTGACATTAAAAATAAACCAGTGAAAAAGTCACCACATATTATAGCCTGAAAAAAAAAGTAAATGTTGCTTTCCCATACATAACCAGCAAACCTCCTAAGTAATCATTTTTAATTGTTCTTGAAAAATTATCTACCAACTTACTTCCCCAAACAGGAATATCTTTACTTTCTGCTTTCATCACAATGGAGGCGAAGGTCATAGTTACTGGAATGGCATCAAAGTAGGAAGAATGGGGAGCCACAGTTAATATTGCTGCTTCTCCTGGCAATGCCCGTCTGCCTTTTACACTTATCCAGTGGAATCCACCAGCAAGCCACATCATTCTCATGATTGCTTTCAGCAAAATATCCACTACCCTGTAAAGAGTTGAAAAAAGAGTTATGCTGCCACAAGAATACCTTAACAAAGGAAAAGAAAAACTTTACACAAAAATTTCATAAGCATGAAATACGTGCAGATAGGATATGCTGCTCAAACAGAGCAGGAACACTACACAGACTTCCGTTTCCTCTTTCTCAGCAGGTTTAAGACCACTTTTAAGGTAAGAAGCCATTTAATTTCAATTCATACCTGAATATTAATGTGTTTTAATCACAGTAAGAGTGGCATTTATCACTAAACTAATTTTGATTCAGACTACGGCTGCTCAGTTTCTTCTATACCATGTTTAATAATGTTTTCTAGTAACACTAAAAAAAAACTTTATTAAACTCAGTCCTGAAAAATACTATTAGGATATTGCTAGAATGCAACAACCCTGATTCCTGGGTTCAAGTTCACCCAAACAAAACAGTGCAGAAATGTAGGGCAGAGATTCCCAAACAGAGGGATGCTTACAGAATATACCCTGGAGCTTTGGGAATATTTTACCTTCTTCTCTTTTCCCCATCTCCTCCTCAAGTGTTTTTCTGTTTATTTTGTGGTGGGTTTGTTTGTTTTTTTGACGGAGTTTTGTTTGCTTTCTTTTTAAATGATAGTCATGAAAAGAGAAGCATTTACTTTGAGCCCACAGAGTGCCAAAACCAAACACTACAAATTGCTGTACTCACAGGGACTGGAGGCTGGAGAGCAGGGTGACACAGAAACTGGATTAAATGGGGGCGGGACAATCTAAAAAGCTTCAAAGTAACTCTATGGAAGGTTGATTGCAGCCTATTACTCCTTTAGTAATTATACTGATAGGATTCCAAATGAAATGCAAAGTGACATGTCTCTGTGGTTCTCAAACTCCTTCCCTCCTGTGTTGCAAAACAGAATCAGCTTCCCTGATGGTAATGCCAGCTCTTTTAAAGTTCTCTACAGAAAAGAGGTGATACACACCTTTCTTACTCCTCAAATGGCAGTTTTCATGGATGGGTGAACACTATCTTACATTCTACCTTAATCAGCTTTCCAATATCAAAATGAGCACAGACTTATTAATAAACACCTGTCAATTTGTCACAGGGCAGCAGTAAATGGGGTGACGCAGTTTAAAACAACAATTTAGAATATGAAATCTGGGCACATTCCGTAGTGTCACTCTTCATAACAGGAAGTTGACATTACAGGAATAATTGAAATTGAAGGATGCCACAATGATGCTTTGCACTACATCCTTGATAAAGAGGCCAGTGATGATCAGTTTTTCTCCCTGTAATTCTTGTATCTCCTGGTATATCAAACAGTTGAGGTATTTTTAGTTTCCCATCCAAGGAGTGTTTAAATAGTAATTCTTATATTTTTCTTCCGAAGAGAAAAGCAGGTCTGTAGGAGAGATGTCAGGTATTTCCAACATTCTCTTTTTCAAACCACCGAACTAAATACTGAGTCTCTCAGTATTTCACCGTATCAGTGACTCACTTTCGCCACCAGGAGAGGGGCTTTTCAAGCACTTGCTCATCAGGTCCCATTGAAGCAATGAATGCAAAAGGCCAGGCCAGCAACATCATAAAAGCAGCAAAAAAGAGTCGGATAGGAAACAGAGTCAGGGTCATGAAGGCAATCTGCAAAATAAAAAAAATAAAAAAATAAAAAAAAAAGCAGCATTATTGTAACATGATCTTAGACTGAATCTCATCAGCGACTCCTGGAAACTGATCTGAAGTCTTAACTTAAAAATGTTAAAACCAGCAGAATATGCTTCAATTCCAAATAAAAAATTGTAGTGTATGTGTAACAATTTCATATTCACCAATCTTAATTACAGCTGAAACACAGCACCCCCTTTAAAGCCAATGAAGTCACAGCTTTCCACGCTTCTTCAGACCCTTTGTTTGTCAGTGAATATATCTGCATGCTCTTCCCTTTCTGCAGCCTCACACTTAGTAAATATTTAGCATGGGTGTGTTATAAATCTTACTGCACTATAGAGAAGTTGGTCGACCACAGCAGCTCCCAGTCAGTGACATGCATTACTTCAGAAGAGCGCATTGACACAGCAATACAGAAACCAACCTGGAAAACTCTTCCAGGACTGAGCAGGCACCTGTTCCTCTGCAGTAGGTTCTTGGAACCAGAAGCTGTGGGGAACCACAGTGGGGAGCATGGTGCAGAGACCTCTGAACAAACATCCAGACACATATTATGAGTTTCAGCTATAGGTCTGTTCTAACAGGCACAACACCCTGGAAAGCAGAGGACTTCAAGAAGTTATCCTCCCCTGGGGAGCCGTAGTGAATGAACATAGCTGCTTCTGCACCTTCTCCCAGCACTCTACCTCTCAGAGCCCTTTCCCAGCCAGTTAGCCCTCTGCCTTCAACTCTAGTGAAAAACATGTCACGTTGGAACTTCTCCCACAGTCTCTTGAAGGATTGTTCCAGAAGCAGGGCCTTTCCTGATCTTTCCAGAGTTGTTCCCAACTGTCCTCTGGAAAACATAACTTAGCTACTATGTGTGCAATGATACACCTAGCCCAGGAAACAGCTCCAGGAGCCAAGAGTCCCTGTTTCTCACTCAAGGGACAGGAAGAAAGAAATCTCTTAAAGCAGAGGAGGGTACAGCTCTGGATGACTGGCTAAGGGAGAAAGAACAGAAAACTGAAGCTGACTGAGGTAGCACCAATGTTCCTCAAGGTGTACAACAGAGGCTAGCAGAAGATGAAGATGATACTATGAAAAATAAGGACCATATAAAGAATAAACTCAAAAGGAAATATATTGCATATTCAGTTGTACCAGATGAGGAAGAAAAGCTCTTCAGCTTGTACCAGATGAGGAAGAAAAGCTCTTCTGAGCACCACAATGGCTGGGCAAGGATGAGTAATGAGGCATAAGCTGCTGTCTCATGTTGTGCTTGATCTGATGCATATCCAGGCTGCTGTGGAACGCATTATTCATATTCTTCTTTCCCTAATGCAGATCTAGTCCTCATGCAGCTCAGTTTCCCATTGATCAGTTCCTGCTTCCTCTCACTTCTCAAAACAGCTCAATAACCAATTCAACCTGTAGCTGCACATCTCTCTAGATCTAGGGTAGAGGCAGGGAACACACAGCAGGAGAAAAGCCTAAACTACCAGCCCATTGCAATGTCAGATTTTACAGTGATGGTTCCAGCTGGTACCATCATCTTATAACAACCATGGTCTCATTCCCTGAAAGCAGTCCCTTGATGGACTGCTCCATTTTGCAGAATTGAAAGAAGGAATTTCTTTCTTAGATAGGCTAATATCCCAGATTAACCAGTACTACTTCCTGAAGTGCAGTGGTCAGATGAGCACTGAAGTCATACCAACTCATGCAACCTGCATCCATAGACAAGACCACCATGACTTGCAGGAAACAGGGAAGCATTCCTCTGCAAATTGGAGAAGAGAGCAGCTGCCTTCTAAGTTTGTAAAATGAGAAAGACCAGCTGTCAAGAAAAAAGGGAAACAAAATGCAGGTGAAGACACAGCCTCTGCAATTCACACCCTCTCCCTTCCACTTCTCCAAGTCTCCTCCTATACCAGGGCAGAGCTGAATGGCAAGTAACTGGTGATGAGCCATTCAGTCCTTTGCATCTTTGTAGCAATTCCTTATATCAAGATCATGTTAGAGCCACATCACAGAACTGGAGCAGTAGTTGCATGCATAAGATCAGAAAAGATGGCATAAATGTGCAGAAAAGGCTTCTTGGTCTTCTGTGTCCAGAGACAGCAGCTGTAGCAATGGACAGCAAGAAGCAGTTTCAGCAAAACAGGTGTAACATCTGGCTGTGACACGAGCCTCTTTTTTAGAAGGCGGTCATGAAGTACCTATCCACACAAGAAATTTAGGAGACAAGTATGTTTGGCCCCTTTAGAAGGCTAGGAATCAATAAAGACACTAACATTTGAAATGCAGTTCAGTCTACATCTACATTCAGACACCTTCCAGGGTAAGAAAGCTGTAACACCTACATAAAATATTAGACAGAAAGAAGAAGATCCTGTCCCTACCAACCACTGTACAAGATCCGAATGTAGGAGATACACACTCTTGGTCTGACCTTGTCCAGGCATTTCTGTGATTATCTCTCTACATATTTAGGACATTCACCCAAACATGTTTTCTGTTAAAATTAGAAATTCTACCTGGTAATAACTTGTATATAAACACCCATGTTTTGAATACATTAAAACAAACCCTAAAGGTCCATTTGGAGCTGTACCTTATGAGGTTCAGCTCATGACCAATTTTCTCAAGAGGGGTTTGACTACAGGTCATTTAACATTTGCTAGTCTACAGGATCCTACTTAGTTTTCAGAAGTGGCAGCATATGCTGTGAAAGGCTCAAGGAAGACAGCAGGAAGGGAGAGGATGGTCTTACAGCTTGTAACAGAAGGCTGCCCTGGGAAATTGTACTCACTCTTCTGTCAGAAAGGCTTCAATTTGAAGTCACTTAAAAGTGACTTAATCACTTAAACTAAATAGGTATCTTATGTTCTCCTCATTCAGAGACTCTGCATTCAGATTTGAGTTTGAACTTACAATTGAAGTATAAAATATGAACTTAAATCCTTTTTAAGCTCTCCAGCATATCAGCTCATACATATCTAAGCACCGAGCAAGAGAATCACAGAGCACCCTTGTCTCCTCTTTATGTCTCTATTTCCTAGCTTGAAAGTCAGTATCATACCTCTTATGCACAAAGGAACTGAAAGAATGCATCTTTGAAATTAGTAATACAGTGAGAAACATTGTTAAAATCAGTTTATTCACAACAAATTTTTCATTACTAACTACAAATTAATGGTTACATATTGAACAAAGAAAACAGAATAATGAACAGCACATGTAGCATGGTAAAGGTTTTGATTTTTCTTTTAAATATGTCAGAGACTACATCTTGCCCTACACTTTCACTTCCTCACTATTATCATTCTTACAGCCTCAATTCCCCAAAGATGGCACTGAAGGAGCTAGGAACTTGTCCCTCAACAATTCTCTTATTACCCACTTTCCCACTCTGCAAGTTCCCCAATTGACATAATCATGGAGATAAATACCAGAGTAGAAAGTTTCATGTGCAACTAAGCCAATCTAACAGATCATTGCTGCTGAAGAGCGTGGTCCTGTTCACTGTTCCCCCAATCCTCCCCTTAAGTCAGCTCAAGCACTATCTGAGCTTGCAAGGAGCCAATACAGCTCATTAGAGTGAAGAAAAGCAATCGCAGCAAAAGAAAACAATCAGAATACAGAAAACCACAATAATATTCTGGCTTAATGAGACAAATCAGCTCACCAAGGCACCAAAGGAACACCAGCATTGGTGCAATAAAAGGGCCATAAACACTAGAAGAATGGAAAATGGTGTTGTATTGTATTTTTAAGTGGCAGGGAAACAAACCTACAAACACTTTGTGATAACTCCAGTAATGCTTCTGCCTGTTCTGCAGAGATAACTAGAATCAAGAGCTTTGACTTACCTGCTAAGTGCCCAGAAGATGATGAGGATGAACCAAATTCATGGCTAATGAAACCATGTCTGTCTCTTTCAGAAAGGGTATTTTTATTATAGTACTGAAATAAAACAGGTAGCTGCAAGAATGATCCCCACTGTCACCCTCTGATCAGAGTAAAATAGCCACTATATCTACAGGAAGCATGAGACTCAGGTCTGAAAGAGCGTTATTGCTTTTACACTCCTGTTATCTTCCTGCTTTTATAAAGTCAATAGAAGATGATGTGAACAATTCCTTGGCATTCAAATGGATTTTTGTTGTTATTCTTCTTTGCAGTTGTTTTGTCCTCTACATATTTATTTTCTTTCCTCCGCTCCCAGGGTCTTGGGCTAAAATGCATTTACTGTGAATTGTATTAATGAGTAAAAAACCTAACCTACCCTATTGCAGAGTGCAGGATGTGGGAAAGATGAGGAGGTAGTAAAGATAACGGGACTATCTGACAGACAAAGCAGCCTTGTCTCCCATTCCCCTGTGCTCACTAACCTCTTCACATACCTCCAGTCCCCACGTTTCCAACCTTCTGAAATAAACTTTGCAATCCCAGAACTCACCCCTGTTAGATTCACAGGGGAGACAGAAAAACCTGTGACACAGTGTGTGCCCACAGCTGAACAGGAAGCGAGTTCAGCTGTAATACTTCATACCAAACCCTCAGTAAAAGGCCAAGACTGCATGGAAGAGAACGCACACTGCTGTGATTCACTGTAAAGCAGCCTCCCCATTCAAGAGGTCTCCCTTTCTGGGAGAGTGGCATTTCTCAGAAGTGGAAGCGTTCCACAGCTCTTCAACAGCCTCTATGTCAAGCACAACTTTTAATCAGTGAAGAGGTTAGGAGAGCATGATTAAGGAACAGAAGAAAATTTATCACAGTTCTGTACATCAGCTTGTGTGCTTTCTCCTCAAAGGAAACTGCAAAAATATGACTGCAAGAGAGGCTGAGTTGAAGAACTCCGTGCCACTGCACATCAATAAGCACATCTAAAAAACAAGACCAAGCCACACTCTTTTGTGGGGCTATTCCTTTAGTCCCTACGCTGTAAAAAAAAACACTACAGAGCTTTAGACACATCTTACAGTTTTTTATTGAAAATAACATTCTTGAAATAGAGTGGCAAAGCTCATGTCTCATATAGACATGAAGGCCAGCCCACACAGAAGGCAAAAGTCACTTTGCTGGTGAAGGAACTAAAGGGTCTGTTAGGACTAAACAGATGAGCAATGCTAGTAGCTCTTATGAGATTCAACACTGCGAAAACTGTGAAACCAGCACTGTGCCCTCTCAACGGCATATTTAAGATTCCTTATAAACAAGCAGGTAGAAAGCTACATTAAAAGATACATTAACACTGCAAAATAAAACACAGTTATTGTTACAATTAGATACAATCCCAGACCATATGAATGCATGGTATCTTTGCTTCTCTCTGGTCCCTGTAAGACTTCTACCTCATTAATTACTTAGAAGCATGACTTAAGGAACAAAGTAAGGTTACACTGAAAAGAAACCATTACAACTATGTGATTTATTGAGGAAGCTCTAGGTATAAACTGAACAAGGCAAATGGCACAAACCTTTTCTCCCTTCTCCCATTCAAACAACAATTTATCAGTAACCATAAACACATACCAGGAAACCTGATTTAGAAAAGTAAAAGCCTTTTCACTGGAGTCTACTACGAATTCTTTGGCTGCCAGATACTTAACATGAGGCGCATTCCAATGTTTTGTATGACAGGCCAGACATCTCTTGTGTTAAGTCTCTGGACAGCAACAGGACAATGCAACAATCAACTTCACTCAGAATGCAGATTAAATTGAAGTTGGATCTAAAGCCCTTTGGAGAGGTTCAGTATTAGTAGATCTTAATTTCCGTATAGGCTGTTAGGCCCCCAAAACAACAGCTTTAAGGAACTGAAGCGTTACAGTGATGAAAGTAATAGAAATGGCCAACACTTATTAGGTGAGCCTTTGATGGCACTTCTTCATCCATCAAGTGACCCAGATCTTACCGACAGCCTAAGACAAGGGCCATGCACTCTGAATATCCAGCCACCTACTACTCATCACACGAGGCAACTGAGGCAGAGACATGGAGGAAAAAACAAACCAACTAACAAACAAGCCACACAACTGCAAATTTACATTTTAATACCAATTCCCGTCATCTTACAGCTACCTGTACAGTGGGTGAATTATGCCACAGGGATCATTTACCCAGGGGCCAAACTTGGGATGCCATAGCCCAAGCATACCTTGATGCTGGGAAAAGAGGGCCTCCAGAGCGCTGCTCCCCTACCCCCATTAAAGTAAAAAACACCCAAACAACCCCCACCCCAACAAACAACCAAAAAAAAACAAAACCAGCAGCAACAAAACCCAGAAAACCAACAAAACACAACACAAAACCATGTAAAAAAAGAAAATATGTGGTTTATTTTTAATTGTTTATAAAGCAGGCGGCGGTGCACAAGTTCAGAGCACGCCCTGCGAGCGGCGGGCGCCGGCCCCGGGAGCCCCTGCGCCCCACGGCCACCCCCAGCCCCCGCCCGACCGGGGCACCGCACCACGCTGCCCCCGCCCGCCCACCGCAGCCCTCACAAGCCCGGCTTGCGGGCAAGCACGCACACATGCCCCGGTTTTCCCCGGTCTCACAAAGCGCCGGCGGCAGGATGAGTGCCGCCGCCCGCCGCGGGGGACGCGCGGAAGGCGGCGGCGGGAAGGAGGCTGAGGGAGGGCAGGCCCTGCGCGCCCCTACCTTGGCTTTATCCAGGGGGCTGAGGCGCAGCTGGTGCACGAAGGGGCTCCGCGGCGGCGGCCCACGCTCCCGGCTGCCGGCCACGCAGCATCCCCGGCCGCGGCTGCTCAACTTCATGGCGGGGCAGGACTAGGCGCGGCGCGACCCAAGACGGGAGAGGGAGCGGACGCTGCACAGCGACCGCTAGTCCCCGAGTAGCGGCAGCAGGGAGGGAAGGAGGCAGACGAGCACCAGCAGCCAGCTCACTCACCACTAGACACCGGCCCCCGCCCTCCTGGGTGCTCCGCGCATGCGCGCTGCGCGCCGGCTACAGCGGCGCGGATGGGCCCCGGTTTCCGCGTCGGGTTGGTGGAGGAGTAGCGGGGTAGTGTGAGTGCTGTGTGTGCGCACCCACCCAGCCGCCCAGCCTCCCTCCGACCGGGCTTCTCAGGGCATGCTGGGAGGGCGGTCTCTCCCCCGGTACCCTCTGAGGCGTGGCGGGGCCATGGTCTCCGTCCCTACTAGCGGGCGGCCGCGGGGGGAGCCCCGCGTTAGGGCTGCTGAGGGGGAGCCAGCGGCCTGGGGCTGCACCTCTGTCGGATGCAACTGCTGGGCGTGGGGCAGGTGAGGGGAGCTTGAAAAACGCCAAAGGAAAGTAAAAAGTGTTGAGGGGAGTCTGGCTGAGGTGGAGGTGGGTCTTAGATGCTGGAGCAGTAACGACACGGCAGTCGGTAATACTGAATGAAGACATCTGCCGCATCTGGATGAAGCAAGGTGTACTCGCATCACCTCTTTGTTTGTAGGGTCTGTGGAGACTCTTCTCTTCCAAGCACTCTTAGGTGGTTTGTAATGAAGAGTCTAGCTAATTTGCACCCTGGGATCTTGGCAGAGTTGGTGAAAGAAGTAGCTAAGCGTGGGGTTTAATAAATCTTTATTGAGAAATAAAAGAGTGCTTGTGCTCTATCCACTGTCAAAAGATCAAGCAGAATGACCTGTACAGTTCTTGACTGTTTAACATCAACCACAAGCAAAACAGTGGAAAAGACAGGCGAGTCATTTGATAAATATGTAACGTATCCTTAATAATCTCACAGGTCTTATAAAACAGGCCTCATAGCCTTGCTCAGTGACATTCAAAGGTAAATTGATAAAAGTGACTGCAAAAACTTAATGACTACAGTTGCTAATCATTAAGCTTAAAAATGTAAAATGGTCTCTCAGTCCATATATCCTTCCAATGGCTAATGCTATTAAACACTGAATGTGTTGAACAGATACATGGTTTCTGACTTGAAAAATTAGAAAAATTTCAGAGGTTAATTGTCATCATATTGGGGGTTGCAAGGTTTTGCAGGCTCAGTGACTTTAAAGATTTTTACCAAGGATCCAAATAAACTCGTTAATAAAATCCATGGGTGTGCTAGATGGTAACTTGGTCAATTACTGTGAGAGCAGCTGCAGTGTCATCTGGACAGGTCAGTGAAATTAACACTTTCACACAAGCTCTTGCAGCCAGATGTATGTATATTTCCAAGAATACCAAGCCATACCTTTGGAATGAGAGCTTATGTTTTGGAAAAGATGGTCTAAAAACAGTTGCAAGCAAACTATTACACATAAAGTCCCAGTGCATTGTATCCAGTGTGACTGTTGGACTTACTACCAGGATTGGTGTACAGGAAATCAGTTACTGTGTGTGTTAATGAGAGTGGTACTAGAATAAAGTCTGTAGTTCAGACATTAAAGATCAGGTGGTGCTGGACAGTACTGGAGCAAACTTCTTACAACAATACATTAAAAAAGCTACATCGATTTAATTTGTCAGAAAAGATCTGCAAGAGATGGCCTTACTGCAGTGTTCAAATCCCTTCCAGAGGAAAAAGTACCACATGCCAAAGCTTTTTAAAATGGCAGGAAATTTGTAGAGGAAGAATCAGTGGTCAGGAGCTGAGATAACTTACTGCAAATGATAAATGATTGTTTAATGATAAACAAGCTCCTTGGTTCAATTTGGGACTAGTGATAAGACTTCCTGGCCCACAGTCAGAGTATGTGATCCAGTGATCCCTTTTAACCTTAAACCCTGTGAAGCATTTTAGCTGCATTCCAGATGATTTGGCTGCTCTCTCATTTTCTCCCTCTCCAGTGACTTCAAGCCATATGAGGCTGATTTCAATAATAAACGACAGATTACTTGAAGAATGAAGCAGAGACTCCCTCCAACAGGGCCTGTATGCCACGTAGCCAGGGAGGAGTTCACCGTAGCTCCCCACAGGGATCTGCTCTCTCATGAATCTTTCCCATAGGAGGGCTCCAGCACACACACTTATTCCCAGACTGGTAGGGATAGAACATAAAGTGTGATGAGGGTATTGAAGATGTTCGGCTGTAGGATGCAAGCAGGCTTCTTCAGTTCTGGCAGTTGTTAGTTTTCCAAAGCCAGTTTCCAAAAATGATCTGATATTATTATTAGCCACATAAGAGTTTTTGGTATTTGTAGCATCTTCCACAATTGTAAAATCAAGTGGAGCATTAGACACCTGCCTGCTCCTTTAGGTCTTAAACCTTCACTGTTAGGGTAGCTGTTCTCTATTATTGAGTATACAAGCAGTATTCTAATTTTTTATTACTTCTGTCATGGGTTCCTTAATTTCTAATTACCACGTGTGTATCAACTGAAAGAGGTTCCAGGAGACTCTGTAGTTTTAAAGGACTCATTTGTTGGGTAGGAATAATGTTCCATTATTTGTAATTTGGTGGCTATCTTCTAGGTTGTTTTAGAGTTCATGAACTATTTGGAGGTTAAGAAGTGCTTCCCTGGATTTTGTTTCTCATTTGTTTTCTTTAAAATTCTGCTGTGATCTGTATGACTTAAGAGAGGTCACTCAAAATGCACAGCCATTTGCAGAAATGTGTTTCCCCACCTCTGCAGTCCCTTTAATCTGCAAGCGTAAGAAGATGGAACTAAGCCCTGTTTCTTGGGAAAGAAAGTTCACCAGTGAAGGCAGGAGCTGGGCATGAGCTCTGAACAGGGGCAATCCTGTGGCAGAGCTTGAATGTGAAAGGCAGGCTGGGAGTCTGAAAACAAACCGGTTTATCATGTGATAAACAGAGGGGTGTAGGGGCCAGCCCCCATGGCAGGGCAGAATAAGCCACATGTACAGGATGCTACTGCTTTCTGTGCAGTGAACTGGAAAGTTTATTTGGATCCTTTCAGGGACACATGACGAAACTTGCTACTGGAATGTTATTATATGACCCTGAGAAGGTGGGGGTAAGACTCTGCAAGCATGCATAAATAAAGGGCAGTATTTTATTCTTATAACATGTAGCTTAATAATTTTAAAATATGTTGTCTTCCTTTTCTGGGTTAATTTGAATTAAGATGTACTTGAGTAAGTACATCTATAGTATTGCGGTTTGACTGCTACTTTTTTGTGCAAAGCACAAAAGAGCCCTATGATGTTGCTGGCAAGATTGACATATGTTACGTAGCTCATCTAATAAGGATTTACAAGGACATAAGAAGAGGTGATGAATTTCTTGCAGGATTTATGGAATCTACCTTGCTCCATGAGAGGAGAAAATGTGTGATACATTATGTTGGATGTAAGTGTATTATGATACAATTGGAAAAGGAAATGTTGAAGCTGCCTATCATGAGAATAAATTGCAGTAAGCTCTCAATCTCCTCAGGGAAACTGCGGAACCTGAAACCATTAAAATGAGGCTGCACAAACATGTAAGTGCCATTCTATCCTGGTGTGCAAAAGCTCTAATTGGTCCTTTCTGTCATTCGTTGGTATGATTTATAGGGAGCTGTACAAATAAGAGGACTCATGTCTAAAAAGCATACAAATATTAATTATGAAATATGCTTCTGTGAACCTTGAAGTAGGAAACAGAGTATTCAGTATTTAACAGCTAAACTGAAGTGGTTTTCTCTAAATCAAAGAAACATTTGTAAAAAGTAAATATGTTGACCACAGCACTGAACTTTATTAAAAAAAAAAAAAAAGTGGTTGCCTAGCAAACGTCCTTGCTTTGATTTTTATGATGGTCCTTGACCTTGATGGCCATTTGGCAGAATCAGCTGATACCTGTTCAAGACCAATTCATGTTCATCTCCACCCTTTAAACAACTTTTCTACAGTTGTTTTCACATACTCTGTAGGGTTTTTTTGTGGGGTTGTTTTTTTTTTTTTTTCAATTTCTTACTTTTTCCCTTATGACTCCCATTGCAAGTCTCTTCAGTGTTTAAATCAGGAAAGGTTTTAAAAATATTTGGAAAAATAAAATTATTCTGTGAAGAGAAAATAAAACGAGTTCACATTAAATTATTAGCTGTAGTACAGATTTAGCAATGAAAATGTGCTCATATTTTTCTTCTGATTTGTGAGGAAATGCAGAATCCATCTGACTTCCTTGAATCAGGAAAGGATGGCTGGAGTTAGTGGCCGGTGTGTGGGAAGAACAGCAGTTTCTTGTTATGGTAGTGCTGTATTACCTTTGACGTGTTAGCCTGAAAAAGTAAGGGACCTCCCTCATTCAGGAATTTGTAGGAAACAAATATAATTCAGGGTGTTCGAGAAATAATTGTTAATACGTACTTTTCACCTCAGAATATAATTTGCACATAACCTTGTCTTTAGCAATTGCAAACAAACTTGCCAGTTCCCACCCGATGGTGGCCTCTCAATACTGGACTGGGAGAAGGCACATGTGTTTGGTGTTGCTGAGTTTTTGCCAGGTGTTGAGCAGTCTGCACTTGCTGTACAAACCCTGCTCCTGCACACCACTGTAAATACCCAGCATTATGAGAGAATTCTCCCTCAGGAGCTGTGCATGCTTATTCCATCCTTCCCCAGTTGATGAAAAGAAATTTTGAGCAAGTGGAGCCTTGCTCATCTTTATCAAAGGCTGAGCCAAGACTGGAACAAATTGCTCTGGGATCTGAGATCTGACTCACACTTGATCCTTCGATCAAGAGTATCCCAATTAACCTTGTGGATTTTATTTCTCCCTCTCTGTTCTTAGATTGAAACCCAGAAGAAGGAGGCCATAGTAGTTCTGGTAATATCTCACTGTTGGTTCTTAGAGATGGTTCAGACCTAGACTGAACTCCCCTCAGTTCTTTGTTGAAAAACCACATCCTTGTAAATGGCCACACACACAAGATATATGAAGGTGAACATAGAGCACAAATAAACACTAGGTACAAATTAAAGTAGCAATTTTTTTTGTGATTTACTATGCTTGTAGCCCCCTATATCTGCATTCATTTCTTTTTCATCTTCATACACCTCCTTACTATTCTTTGAATGTCTTGGCTTCTGTTTGTAGTCCCAACAGAAAAGAGTGATCC